GATTTCTCGCTTTCTGTCTCTCTGTCTCTTTCTGTCTTTCTGGTGAGCACACATGCCCTACAACAAAAATCTCTCAAAAAAAAGTAATAATAAATAAAATGAAATAAATACTTCTTAAAAAAAGATTTATTTAATTTGAGTTATTATTTGTGAAAAAGCAAACTGCCAGGTCTATAACTTGAACCATGGTCAGCCATGTGGGAGTTCAAGGCCCCAACCACCATGCCACCTGCTGGCTAGTCCTCTTTTGTTTCTTTTTTAAAAAGTTAATATTTTTTTTTTTTTTTGAAGAGATTTTCGCTATAGGGCGCGTGCGCTCGCCAGACAGACAGAGAGAGACAGAGAGACAGAAAGCGAGAAATCACCCCCCAGGGGGGATGGTCACACCGCAATCCCTTCTCCTCCATTCTCCTCTCGGGATCTTGGGCACGCATGCACACACGCCCAGTGTGAGTTTTAAGCCACCGGGTCTGGGACGCGAACTGCAGTCGACTATGTGGGAGTCCAGCGACATAGCCATTACGCTAACTGCTGGTTCCCAAAAGTTAATATTTTTCATGAGAGAAAGAGGTTCTCTTAACATGGTCTCACTATGCCATGATTCTCCTTCCTGCTAGGATCACTGGTATATTCGGCATGCTCAGATCAATCCAGAATCCAGAACTGGGGTCACCCATGTGGCTCCAGCATGATGTAGCAGCCCTCCACTGCCTACACCATCAAAACTGCGCCAGTAGTTGTTGATATATTAAATTTTTACATGAGTTTATTTGAATTAGAATTATTAAAAATGTTTATATCACACTCTGATAGGTGCTACGTAGCTTGTTTAGTATTGCCTTTTTTAATTTTTAGTTTGACCAGAGAGGGACAGAATGAGAGAGGAAAAAAAAGCAAGAAAGCAAGCCTCCAGGTCCGGGACTTGGCCCTGTGCTTTCTATACTCTTTTTTTTTTTTTTTTTTTTGAGAGATTTTCACTGTAGGGCGCGTGCGCTCGCCAGACAGACAGAGACAGACATAGAGACAGAAAGCAAGAAATCGCCCCCCAGGGGGATGGCCACGCCGCAATCCCTTCTCCTCCATTCTCCTCTCGGGATCTTGGGCACACACGCACACGCGCCCGGCGTGAGTTTTAAACCACCGGGTCCAGGACACGAACCGCGGTCGACTACGTGGGAGTCCAACGACATAGCCATTATGCTAACTGCTGGTTCCCTATACTCTTAATAATAGAAATTTAGAAAAGGGATTATAGGCAGAACAGGAATATTCAACACGCTGCCAGGCACAAGATATAAAATGATTTAATTTCTTTTGTCAATTAAGTTCTCTCTTAAAGTCTTGGTTTAAAGTTGTGAAAGCATACTTTATTTTTCCCTTCTTTGCCATCTGATTAAGTGATACACTGGTTTTCAGTGTTGAAGAGTTCTCATCTTTTAGAGATAGCTTAAAACTCTTAGAGACTAGGGGCCAGCACATGACTGACCATGGTTCAAGTCCCAGATCTTGTGCCTTGAAAATCACACTGGGCATGTGTGTGAGCACCCAAAATCCCAACAGGAGGATGGAGGAAAAGGGATTGCCATTTGACCATTCCCTCTGGGAAGGGTGATTTCTCTCTTCCCCCTTCTCTCTGTCTCTCTCTGGTAAGAGCACATGGCCTATAGCAAAAACCAAAACCAAACAAAAAAAGATTCGTAGAGTCTTAAAGCTTTCTATTGTTCACAAAACACAATAGGGTGTAGCATCTTATATTTATTGCTGTAGAGTATAACAGAGAAATATAGAACAATGATGCCTGGGGAACCAGCAGTTAGCGTAATGGCTATGTCGCTGGACTCCCATGTAGTCGACCGCGGTTCGTGTCCCAGACCCGGTGGCTTAAAACTCAGGCCGGGAGTGTGTGCCTGCGTGCCCAAGATCCCGAGAGGAGAATGGAGGAGAAGGGATTGTGGCGTGACCATCTCCCCTGGGGGGTGACTTTTCGCTTTCTGTCTCTCTCTGCCTCTCTGGTGAGCGCATGCGCCCTATAGCGAAAACCTCTCCCTCCCAAAAAAAAGAACAATGATGCCTTCTGTTTATGTCTTTAATCAGATTTCATTGACATTTACAGATTTAAAGTATGCATATTTTATTGAGGCCTGCTTTTTAGCAAGTTTTCTCTAAGTACTAGTTAAGCATCTATTATTTGATGGTAATGAGTTTAAGCTAATTTCTTTCAGTACTCTATACATGATTTGAGAGTATCTTCAGATTATGTTTTGAGTTATTGAGGAAATAATATCTGTTTTTTAGAGAAAAAGAGATGTTCAGAACATATCTTCAAATCTGTATAATTTCTTAAGCATTTTCTCTTTCTCTATAATAAAATAACTGAGAAGACATTGGCCTCCTTGTCTGAGAGGCGATCATTTAGATAAAAGAAATAGTTATATATTTTTGTTTCAGTGATTTATTCTGAACAATGCATTATATTTTCTTTTTTTTTTTTTTTGAGAGGTTTTTGCTATAGGGCACGTGCACTTGCCAGAGAGACAGAAAGCGAGAAATCACCCCCCCGGGGGGGATGGCCATGCTGCAATCCCTTTTCCTCCATTCTCCTCTTGGAATCCTGGGCACGCACGCACACACGCCCGGCGTGAGTTTAAGCTACCAGGTCTGGGACTAGAACCACGGTTGACACATGGAAGTCCAGTGACATAGCCATTGTGCCAACTGCTGCTCCTAATGCGTTATATTTTCTTAAAGAAATGGAAAGTTTAAATGAAAATTTAAAACAATACAAAATTATAAATACATTTATTTGATAGGCATATTTAAGACAGAAACAAATAATTAGCTATTAACATCCTGACACTTTTTTGTGCTTTTATTTTTTTTGGAGAGGTTTTTTGCTATAGGGCGCATGTGCTCACCAGAAAGACAGAGAGAGACAGAGAGACAGAAAGCAAGAAGTCACCCCCCCAGGGGGAATGGCCATGCTGCAATCCCTTCTCCATTCTCTTGGGATCTTGGGCATGCACGCACACGTGCCTGGTATGAGTTTAAGCCACCAGGTCCGGGACTCGAACCGCGGTTGACTGCATGGGAGTCCAGAGACATAGCCATTATGCCAACTGCTGGTTCCTTTTGTGTTTTTTTTAGAATTTCAGCTATCATCTGAAACTAATAATAGCCCTACTTTTGCAATGAAGTGTTATCTTTCCTGCTGTCCTTAATATACTATATGTAGTGCATTGAATGCATTCAGGAATAAACTTTCATTATTAGACAGATATCATTCCAAAGTCATTTTTGGTAATTGTTGCCCAAGCTGTTCTTCTTAAGTAGAATATGTGTGTGAAATGACTATCTCTTTTGCCAGTTACTTGACAGTGTTACTTTCTCTAACAGCAATTGTGGATACCTAACATTTGCGTGCCTGTGTGTATATACATGCAGACATACACATATACTGAACATGTACACCCACGTTTTATCAGTGCTTTTGGGGTTTGTGAAAACTTTGTTACATAGGATACATTGGAAGAAATTTTTGTCTTCTGTGTTCATTTTGAAACATTTCTAATAAAATGTTTCTTTTAGAGTAGTTTTAATTTATAGAAAAGTTACAAAAGAGTTCTCATATACCTCACAGCACTTGCCCTTATCATAAATATCCTACATTACTGTGGCACATTTCTTTGCAGTTTTTGACCCAGTATTGAGGTGTTACTGTTAAGTAAAGTTTGTTCTGTATTTGAATTCCTTAAATTTTACCAAACGTCTTTTTCCTGTCTCTGGATGCTATGATGATACCGCATTGTATTATTTATTTTCATTTCCGGTATGTATGTGTATGGTTATGTGATGTTTCAGCCAGGGTCTTGGTGCATTGTGATCCTCTTGCCTCAGCTTCCCAAGTAACTGGGACTACAAGTGGACTCACTGAGACTGGCTTTTCAGAGTGGGCTGGAAATGAAAGCCTGTCTTCCTGTGCGGCCTCAGCCTACCACATAGCAGTGTCAAATAGCACTTGCATTACCGTGACCGAGGCTCCCACCTTTTATTTAGATATCATGTCTCTTTTGACTTCTCTAGACTATGACAGTTTCTCAGACTTTCCTAGTATTTGATGACTTTGATGTAGTTAACTATATTTTGAAATTATTTATTGAATAAAAGGATATTTTGAAAATATTCGCTTTTAAATTCTTTTCAAAAGGGCAAGACTGGTGAGTTGAATCAGCTTTTGAATGCAGTTAAGTCAATGCAAGAGAAGACAGTTATATTTCAACAGGAGAGAGATCAAGTCATGTTGGCCTTGAAGCAGAAGCAGCTGGAAAACAGTGCCATGCAGAATGAGGTATGTTTTCAGTTTAAAGGAACATGAATCATACAAAAAGTGTACTAATTACTAAGTGAAAAAAATTAGAAAGATTTTTTTTTTTTATTTAAGTGAGTTTGTTTCTTAGGTAATTCTTCATAGTCTTCCTTGATGTGTTGCTGCAATAGGTCTTTGATCTCCCAGGTACATTTTCAGTTTTGAAAAGTGAAAACAATGACACATTTTGAATGTAAGAGAAATTTCCCACTTATAAAATGTGACAAAAAATTATAATTCCTTAAAAAAATAGTCTGTTGTAGGCCAGCAGGCGATGTGGTGGTTGGGGTGCCAGATCCCACATGGCCAACTCTGCTGTTTGAGTTCCAAATCTGGCAGCCTGAAAAAAATCACACCTATGTGTGTTTGCCCAAAGTCTAAAGGGGAGAAAAGAGGACAGACTGCCATAGATTCCCTATGGCAAAAAATCTAAAAAAATGAAAGATCTATCACAAAGAGCCCAATATTTTTATATAATTCCATTTTTTCATTATAGCCATAGGGAATGAGATTTTACAAAATAAATCTTCCAGATGAATATTCATGATGATTTCAGGAGAATTTTTTCTAGTATAAATATATGTCACAATATGAGAAATTAGTGTACAATCAGTACACTTCAATAATGGGAAAAAGATTTGATAGCAAAGTGGCTTTTAGAAGTGAGAAAAGGGAGCATTCTCTAGAAGAAAAATAAAGAAATGTCTCTATCCAGGTTCAACATTTACGTGACAAAGAATCACGGTTAAACCAGGAGCTAGAAAGATTGCGGAATCATCTTTTAGAATCAGAAGATTCTTACACCCGTGAAGCTTTGGCTGCAGAAGATAGAGAGGCTAAACTAAGGAAAAAAGTCACAATTTTGGAGGAAAAGCTAGTTTCATCCTCCAGTGCAATGGAAAATGCAAGGTAACTTTTTCATTTCTTTTGCACTAACTTTGAGCATTCCTTAAGTGTCAGACTCAATAAACATTTCTCATGCAGTTCATTCTTGTAATACTATCTGCATTTTGTGGATGAAGAAACTGATGGTAAAGTGATTTCATGATGTGTCCAAGGTCAAGCACATGGAGTGTGTGCGTAGGTTTCATATTCGAATCTGTGACTTAAGAAGATCAAGCATTCACACTCTGAATCTTAGCCGTCATCCTAGGTAATTGCCTCTTTTTATTTGAAGATTGTTCCTTGAGATTCTGATTTTAATTAGCTTCATCTAGCTTCCAAAGAACTTATACATGAGGTTTTATTTTTCATCAAATAATCTAAGGTTAACCTAGGTTTGAGTATTAGGAGAGAGTACAGGAAGTAGCAAGGTGAAGGCCTAGGTCATATGAAGAATTAACTTTTGATTTTTTAGAACTGTTGAGTGACCAGGTCCCTGATGATCTATTTACAATTTTTATTTCTCTCAATAAAATGTTCTGTTTGTTTTGTTTTTTAGTTTTTTTTACTATAGGGTGCGGTGTGTGCACTTGCTGGAGAGACAGAGAGGGAACGTGAGAAAGCAGCCACCAAGAGGGATGGCAATGTTGTAGTCCCTTCTCTTCCATTTTCCTCGGAATTTGGAACATGCATAGATACATGCCCAGCGCGTTTTTCAAGTCTCCAGGTCTGGAACTTGAACTGTGCAGTTTGTCTTATGGAATCCAGCTGCCTTCACTGCTACACAATAGGCTGACCCAGGTTTATTTTAGTTACAAAAGCAATTTATTTTTTACTTTCAGAAAATCCTACAACCTAAAAGGTTATATGACTAGTCTCACCTACCTTGTCTTCTGTATTTTACATTTATGTCTATGTTTTATATATTTATATAGTTCTGTGTTTACATTTTCTATTTCTATGTTTTATGTGCATGTCTCTTTTTTAAAAAAATATTTAATTTTGATTTATTATTACTTTTTAATTTGTTAAGGGCATGTGCGCTTCACCAGAGACTGAGACAAGGAGAGAGAAAGTGAGAAAGCAAGTCCAGGTCTGGGACTTGAACCATAATTGGCCATGTGGGAGTCCAGTGACCTAACCACCATACCATCTGCTGGTCCCCATGTACATCTTTTTGTCTTTCTTTTTTCCATCTATGATGCTGAGGGAGATAAAAAGGGATAGTAGATATTACCTGTCTACAAAGAGACTAGAGATACAGAGAGACCGTATTTCTGCTGAGCATATTACTGTAGCTTCAGACTCAGGAGGAAAACTTGTTTGAAAATGGGAATTAAAGGACCAGCAGATGGCATAATGATTATGTCACTGGACTCCCATGTAGTTGACTGCAGTTCAAGTCCTGGAATCTGTGGCTTTAAACTCACGCTAGGCATGTGTGCGTGTGTGCCCAAAATCCCACGAGGAGAATGGAGAAGGGATTGTGGCCTTCTCCCCTGGGGATGATTTCTTGCTTTCTGTATCCTTATCTCTCCAGCAAGCACATGCACCCTATAGCAAAAATATCTCTCTTAAAAAAAAAAAAAAAAAAAAAAAAGGAGGGTATTTAAAATAATGAGTGATTGGAAAAGCCAGTGGTGTGATGATTAAGGCAGCTGACTTAACCATCCCACATGGATCCCACATGGCTGACTGCATGGGACCCAGTGGCTTAGAAAACATGCCAGGTGTGTGCACCCAAAATCCTAAAGGAGAATGGAAAAGGGATTGCAGCATTGCCATCTGCCATCCCCCCTGGGGGGTACTTTTTCAGTTAATATCCCTCCCTCCCCCTCCTGTGAATGCATGCACCCTATAATAAATTTAAAAACAAAAACAGTGAGTGATCATTTGTGTATTTGTTTTACTTTTTTGGAAATGCTAAAACATCTTTATGATATGTATTATCCTTCCTTGCAATTTTCAGGCCTTTATTTTCTCTAATGTAAAGTTTCTAGTCTCTGGGACCAGGAGATGGCCTAATGGTTACGTTGCTGGACTCCTACATAGCATACCTTGGTTTGAATCCCACTTAAACTCACGCTGGGTGCGTGTGCATGCATACCCAAAATTTCGAGAGGAGAACGGAGGAGAAGGGATTGTGGCCATTCTCCCCTGGGGAGGAGATTTCTTGCTTTCTGTCTCTCTTTCTCTCCAGTGAGTACATGTGCCCTATAATTAAAAAACAAACACACACAAAAACCCACCAAAACTTAAGAGTTTCTAGTCTCTTCCCCTTTAATTTACTCTTCACAATAGCTTCCAGAGTAAGCTTCCTCAATAGAGCCGTGATCTTTTTAGAAAACCAGCCTTTTTTTTTTTTTTTTTTTTTTTTAGAGAGTTCTTTTCCTATCTTTCCTTTTTCTTTTTATAGGGCACATGCACTTGCCAGAGAGACAGGGAGACAGGAAGACAGGACTCCCTTCTTCTCTTGGGATCTTGGGCATGCATACACACACCTGGAGTGAGTTTAAGCCACTGGGTCCGGGCCTCGAACTGCAGTCGACTACATGGGAGTCCATAGCCATTATGCCAATTGTTGGTCCCTAGAAAACCAGTCTTGATTCCCATGATTTGGTCCTAGGCTACCTACCACGGTAGCCTTATTTCACATTATCTATTCCTAATCAGACTGTTTTACTCAGTTCCTCAGGTTAAGCTGCCATTTTCCTGTTGCTTTTTCTTCTGCCTTTTCTTTTCATAGTCTTTTTTTCTACTGGAAGAATAGGCCTGGTACCTAACATTTTTCTGTATTTCTTGCCTGTTTTTTATATTCTCTTTTCATGAAGTATGTTTTATTTAGCGACCAACTCTTATCCAAACACAGACCCTGGCATGAGCATTTTTCTTTGATTTGCATAATGCTTCGTTTGAGTCTTTGATACGACATTTAGATTTTACTTTAGGATACAGGTAGTTGCTGGCCTGTTTTATGTTGTCTCCCACCCAATAAAATGTGAAGTCAGGGGCTGGCGTGGTGGTTAAGGGTGCTGGACTCCCATATGGCTGACCGTGATTTGAGTACCAGACCTGGAGGATTGCTTTCTCACTTTCCCTCTCTTTCTCTCTGTCCCTCTCTGGTCAAATAAAATTAGTTAATTAATTAAGTAAAATAATTCTTTATTTTTTGAGAGGTTTTTGCTATAGGGCGCGTGCGCTCGCCAGACAGAGAGAGACAGAGAGACAGAAAGCGAGAAATCACCCCGCAGGGGGGATGGTCATGCCACAATCCCTTCTCCTCCATTCTCCTCTCGGGATCTTGGGCACGCACGCACACGCGCCTGGCATGAATTTAAGCCACCGGGTCCGGGATGCGAACCGTTGTTGACTACGTGGGAGTCCAGCAACATAGCCATTACACTACCTGCTGGTCCCTAAGTAAAATAATTCTTAATAACAAAAAGTGAAGTCATTGAAGGTAGGGATGTTGTCATTCATTTTGTACTCTTATCACATTGTATGTCATATACAGCTTAATAGATAATAAATATTTGCTGTATGAGTAACTCAAATCTGCAAACCAGATTATGGTGTTTTGAGCCTTTCCTTAACATGAGTAACACCTAGTATTTATTTAATTTTTCAGTGCCATCTTTTTTCAATCACCCTTTGAGTGATTTGCTAGCCAGCAAAGTTGAATAAAGTCCAGGAACATTTGATGATCAGGCCTTCTGATTATCAATTTGCTGCTCTTTCCACAAGAGGGTGCTGTTGCATAAAGTCTCTTCAGAGGGAGTTGATCTTTTTTTCTTTTTCTTTTTCAATTGCCAGGAAGACAGAGAGAAAGAGGAGAAAGCACAGCCCATGGGGGAATGGTCATTCTGCAATCCCTTCTTCTCTATCTCCCCATCTCGTTGGGATTCTAGGCATGTATACACACATGCCTGGTATGTTTTTCAAGATGTGATGGTGGCCATTTGAACCTCAGTCATCCACATGGGATCTAACTTCCTACCTACTATATTCTGGGACCAGCCTAGGATTTGATCTTAATGACTTTTAATGATCTGCTCTTGAATAGGAGTTTAACTGGGAATTAAAAACCCAGTGAGTTTATTACAGTATTTTGAATATAGTCATTATATATTAAGGAGATATACCAATGATGTAAGCTTGGAACGGTCCTATATAGATGTCTTAGGGATTTTTGGATTGTTATTTGGGGTAGGAGCAATGTAGACAGGAAGAAGATAATAAAAATATCAACTAATAATTAGCAGTTCATCAGTGGGATAACCTTTGAAAAGTTGTGAGTTCACCATGATTGTGTCAATAGCAAGAGAGTTAGAATCCTTTATTTTTAGATTGAGAGCTAAGCAAAATGACAACTTAGAGTTCCTCACAACTTAAAATTTTATGATAAATACGTTTTAGATTTGTACCTGCAAATAGAAAAGTTGAAGGCTATTTGTAAATTTTTCTTTTGTCAACATTTCTTATTTAGCCTAATTCTTAGTTTTTAAAAAGGACTGCTATTTGTTCAAAGTCACTTTCATGGGAAGAATGATTGTGTTAAGAAAAACAGGGAAAACAGTCAGAGGCACTCTAAAATTTCTAATTGAAATCTAATTTGAATTTAATGCCATAAAATATAGAGAAGGCCAAATTTGTAGAGATAGAAAGTAGAATGAGAGTTGCCGGTGGTTGGGGATTATGACTTCATGGGTATGGAGTTTTAGTTTGGGAAGATAAAAAAAAAGATTAAGAAGTGGATGGTGGTAATAGTTGCATATAGGATAGTGTACTTGGTGCCACTGAACCATACACTTAAAAATGATTAAAATGGTGAATTTTATGTATATTTTATGTGAATTTTATGTATACTTATGTATATTTTATGTGAATTTTATGTATATTTTACTGCAGTGATAAAACGAAGGGAAGTATCTAAGTATTTTGAAGCCTAACTTGGTTAAAGCAGTAAGATGTAGGGAAGTTTCTTCTTGTTGAAATGTCTATTGTAGATAAAAGCAGTTGGACTTTTTGCTCCTCTTTGCAGCCATCAAGCCAGTGTGCAGGTGGAGTCACTGCAGGAACAGCTGAATGTGGTCTCCAAGCAAAGGGATGAAACTGCGCTGCAGCTGTCTGTCTCTCAGGAACAAGTAAAGCAGTACGCTCTGTCACTAGCCAACCTGCAGATGGTGCTCGAGCATTTTCAGCAAGGTCAGTTGTATGTCTCTTTTTCACTGAAGGAAAATTGTAGGTCCAGGTCATTTCACTTTACTTGAGTGCTGTTTTAGATTAGAAATAGGGAAAGCTTTCAAGGACTGTAGAGGGGAAAAGGAAATAGCCATCAACAAGGTAATTTAGTCTTCTTGCACAATCAAGACTAGAGAACATAAACTGTATTTGGTAATTATTAAAATTTTGTTTTAAGGGGTCAGCAGGTGGCTGGTTGCTGGACTCTCATGTGACTGACTGTGGTTTGAGTCCTGGACCTGACAGATTTCTGTCTGTTGAGCACATGTTCCCTATAGCAAAATTTAAAATAATAATAATTTTAAAAAATTTCTTTTTAGAAAAATTTTCTTTTAGTATAATATTACCTGTTAAGGTGAGAGTTGTGAAAGTATGAGAATAACATAAAGACAGATACTTAAGCAATAAAGAGGGAACTATAAAGTAAGAGAGAATACACATAGAAAAATTGGTTAATTTTTGAGATACTGGCTGGAGGTTGAACTCACATCAGAGTGTTATTCATCTGCAATTACTGTCCTGTGAAATATTAACTTGTTCTTAGCTATTAATGTGTATTTTGAGGTAAATATATTTTCTAGTCCAAGAAGAAAATACATTTTTGGAGACAAAGTCAGAGTGACGAGAGCAGTTTTACCTTGAGAACCCAATATACTTGTTCATATTCTCCCTTCCATCCTCAGTCATTCACCCATCCGTTTGTTTTCTTATATATGCAGTAATCACTGACAATGAATTAAAGCTAGTTGGGGAGACGGTGAGGGGATTTTAGGGGAGATGATGGCCGTGAAGTAATGTGACTTTATAGTTTTTTATATATTACTGTTTTTTACAGGGTCATCAGGAAAGTCATGACACATTTTTGCATAGGAAAACACAGAAAAATACATCATGACTTTCCCAATGACTTAATAATTTTGCTATAGGGCACATGAACGTGCCAGAGACAAACAGAAAGAGAGAGGGAAAGTGAGAAATCACCCTCACGGGGGTATCTAGTGCCGCAGTCCCTTTTCCAGTCTCTTCTTGAGATTTTTGAGCACATGTGCGTACACACTGGCATGTTTTTCAAGCTGTCAGGTCTGGGACTGAAACCATGCAGTTGGCCATGTGGGAATCCAGCACCCTTAACCACCATGCTGCCTGCTGGCCTCCAGATCTTGAATTTTAAATAAAATAGTTCTCTGCGTTTATTTTACAGTATAAAGCAATTACTAGAGTAGGCGTGTATATGAAGTAGTATGCTGTTGAGACTGCAGAGAAAGCATTGCCAGAGAGGAAATAGTTGAGTGGAGTTATCATCTATAAAATAGACGAAATGGAGAAGGGTTAGGCAGAGGAGTCGGTAATCTCATCACTTCAGTTTCACTTAACGTTATCACTAAAACATATATGATTTTTTTTTTTTTAAATTTTTGTCATAGGCTATATGCTCTGGTTGGAGAAAGAGAGAGACAGACGGGGGGTGGGGGGGAGTAAGAAAGCACCCCCTGTACCTGGGTTGGGGTGATGGCTATACCACAGTCCCTTCTCTGTTTTCCACTTGGGATTTTGGGCATGCACCCATGTGTGCTTGACATAGTTTTTAAGCCACTGGGTCCAGGGCTTGAACCATACAGTTAGCCATGTGGGATTCAGCCACCTTAACCACCAAGCCTCAGGCTGGCTCCCTCTCTGG